TCAACAACAATGAGCTATATATGATCGTCTCTTCTAATTGGCAACATTAGACCGCACCAAGTACAAATAATTTTTTATAGTTGCATGCAAGTTGGTTTACGATAAATATGTAACCCGATATACTGTATCTAGGGATGTCTTTTTTAGTTTCATATAAAATTTTATATCATTTCGGGAAGAAATGCAGGGTTTGTAGTCTATTTTTCCGCGTCGTTATGCAATTTTACAGCAGAGACGTGCCCGATCCAAAGTGAATCCCTCTCACCTGTGATCAATCACAAATTAAATTATTTATGTTGGATTCAATTGTGATGGATATAATCCCTCACCAGTTTAATATATGTGTAACATTAACGGTCTCTGCTGTAACGCATGTCAATAGGGTGTGTAACGGCCTACGTATAGGCAGGGACACTAATGATCATCACTAGTTGCGGATTTTTATTGGGATCGATGAACACATATTTTGTATCGGCTGAGCCAATTTTGCTTAGGGTCGTAAGCATTAATGTGAGAAATAAATTATGTATTAACACACACAAGACACCATCAAATACAAAACCAATATCTCTTTATTGTTTCCCAGACACTAATAGTAACAAATATCCTTATCCAACTCACTAACCTAGTACGTTCCTAAGACCAAATACAAAACTAAAATCCAAACTAAAATCCAAACTCTCTATATTTATAGTTACTATTAGACTACAAATAAGTATTAAACTATTTAAAGTCTAATTAAGGTATGCTTTACAATTATAAGCTTTGCATAAACTATTATAGTGTTACACGCCAAAGTATATATGTTACACAAGCGAACGTTTAATTATGAAACTTTGTTGCGTAACAATGCACACATATTAATCTTATTAAAACAAAAATTAGATTTATTGAAATAAATAATTAACTAAATAGAATACTATTTTTTTAAATTGAACTTCAAGACTAGCTCTACACTGAAATAGAGCTATTTTTTTTAATATTTTTATAAAAATTTTTAGAATGCTATTATTAGTGTTCTTGGTTTAGATTATTAATATTTTTTTTTTACTTTTTCTAAAAGAGAGATAAAAAAAAATAGCACTATTTCAGTGTAAAGTTAGTTTAGAGCTTCAAATTTTTAAAAAATAGCATATTTTATGATTAATTATTTATTTCAATAAATGGAATTTTATTTTGGTAAAATTTATAGCGACACACACGCGGAAATCTGGGAATTTGTGAATGTAAATTTTCAAAAATTTTAATGTAAATATAGTTGAAGCTTGACACAACAAATCTCTAAATCTAAGGGTTACAATTCGGTATAAAAAATTATTCGCAAATATGCGTAATGAATTTTAAAAAATTATTCGTTATATAACTATAGCGAATATTAGATTAAAATTCGGTATTAAAAGATATAATAAAAAATATTAATTATTACGTATTTTTTCTTTTATTTTATTTATTAATTGTCAAAGTGTACGTAGTAAGAACTTTTGTTTGAGTAAATAAAAATGTAATATTTGTCGTTCCTGTGTTGATTTGCAGTTTTTGTAATGCGTAATATGCATTTAACAAAAAGTAGCTTTTATACATAACTGATATTATTTTAAAATTGAAAATTAGTGAGTATTAAAAATAGTCTTTCAAAACTGCATTCCTTCCCGAAATAATACAAACTTCAATTGATATACCATTAGAATGATTTATCTTTATGTCAGTGATTGCTATCAATATGAAACTAGAAAAGACATTCCTAGAATGGGCATTTACATATTTATCATAGACCTAATTGTATGTAACTTTAAAAAATTATTTGTACTTGGTGCGGTCTAATGTTGCCAATTAGAAGAGACGATCATATATAGCTCATTGTTGTTGATCAAACAATCAACATTTTTTTGTTAATTTATTTTAATTATTAACAAGCTTCCGGCAGATATAGTGTTACAATGTAGGATGTGGATATGTTAGTATATTTGTTCATTTTTATATTTGATTATGCTAATATGGTTGGTTAGTAAAGGTGGTGTGGGGGTGCGATAGTAATGGTGTTATCTAGTTTCCTGTTCTGGCGTATAGACTTTCAACGCTCTATCCATATATAGATATTTTGTGAAGTTGTTTGATGAAGGTGCCGTGGTGACGAATGTTGTTTGGGATAAGTCCTTATAGTAGTAAGTTGTTTGGGATAAGTCCTTGTAGTAGCAAGTTGTGTTGGTTGTGAAGAAGGTGCGTATGAGCATTGAGGTGTCAAGTGATTTGAGATCATCGTATTTTGTTATTGCATCACTTATAAGTTGGTACAGAGTGATTTGCAGGACAGTTAACCAGTGGGTGTTATCCTCAATGTCGCAGTTAATTTATTTTAATTTATTTACGTCAATAAGTTTATTTTTTTATTTACGTAATTACATACTCCCAATTAACCCGGGCCATGTACGTACTAATCAAATGGGATCGGGTTATCGAACGGGTTGATCAGTACAACCACGTTCGATTAAGGGCACTAATAATATCTATGTATATATATACGTATATATATATGAATTCATTCTTCACAAAAGGAGTCGTTTTAAATACATTCTATCTTTTAATAAAACTTATTTGAATTTCTTAGTATAATTTGTTAAAAAAAAAAATGAAGAATTTAAAGAAAGGAATTTTTTTAATTTTTTTCCAAGCAAGTTTTTTGATAATAAATTGTTATCAAAATTATACCAGGCCAAATGCTAGTATTGCTGAACCATATCCAACAATTTTTGAAGAAACTTATCCAGAAACTAATAAATTGGATTTCTTAGCATTTGGTGATTGGGGATATCAAGGAACCGACTCTAAACAATCAGTTGTTGCGTCAGCAATGAAAATCTGGGCAGATAACAATAATACTACGTTTATTCTTTCTCTTGGTGGTATTTTATCAGATCATTCAAAATTTTTCTTATTATGAATCTTAACTTTATATACTTTATATAAAATTAAAAAATAATACATATTTATATTATTTATATTGCTTATATTGTTTGAAAAGATAATTTTTATACAAGTAATGCATCAGATCACGAAGGAGTTGATTCAATTTATGATCCTAAATGGAAGTCTAGTTGGCTTGATGTTTATGGTGGTAAATTAAAAGATCTTGTTTGGTATACCGTTGCAGGAAATCATGATTGGTTTGTTAAATCTTTTTCAAAAATTTCTTCTAAATTTTCTAGTTGCATTAACAAAAATTATCACACTGTAACAGACAATTTCAACTTTATTAATAATAGGTATACAAACGTAACAGCGGAAGTTGACTACTTTTGGAAAATAGATCCAAGATTCTTCCTTCCATCACTTTATTATGTGCGTACCGTAACATTCGGTTCTAGAAAAATTAAAGTTTCATTTATTCATATCGACACAGATCCCTTCTATTACCCTTATGATAATCTAACAGATGCTGATAACCTAAAAGGGACCTTGTTAGCATTAGGTTTACATACTCCTGATGCAATTGAAACAAAGATAAAATGGATAGAACAACAACTTATAAATGTTCAAGATTCTAAATGGATTTTTGTTGTTGGACATCATCCCTTAATAGCTGGTAATTGTTCTTCTATTTATTATATGTCTAGATTACCTCCTCTTTTTGAAAAATATAATGTGTCTGCTTATCTTGCCGGTCACGTTCACAAACTTGAATATCAACAAGTTAATTCTACTTCTCATGTTGCCTATTTTACTACCGGTGCCGGTAGTAAAACCCAATTTGAGGGTTGTGATGGTGCTAGTTGGTTCATGCCTGGTGGCGGTGCTGAGGGAACCAGGGGGTTTTTACATATTTGGATTCAAGAAGACGGTGAAAAGTTATCGTTTGAATTTATTAATTCTACTACTGCTGATAAACAGCCTGTTTCTGTTTATCAAGGTTCTCTTAATCCTCGTGTTTTATCTTAAATTGTTTGTAATTATTATAAAATCTTTCCTTCGGGAACTCTTTTAATGATTGTATTCGTTCTTGGATTTTTGTCTTGATTTTATTTTTGTGTCTCACACTTAAATCTCAAATCATGTTTATGTAAATAGCCAACTAAATAATAATTTATTTTCGTTACCGCTTATTCTCATGCTTATTTATTCGTGTAACCTGCATGATATGACAAATGACACCTACTGATCAGAAAGATTTCGTTTTTATACTAGAGTTTATAGAATAATTATATATATATATTTTTTTACTTATTTTATTGCTAAAATATTTTAATACTTATCGTGCAAACTCTTATGATCATAGATTTTTTCTTCTTGTTATTTTTTGTACGTTATTACGTAAGCACAACAATCCTGAATTAAAACTCAGTTAGCCAACCACGACTCGAAAATCATGATCATAATTGCACGATAACTAGGGATGTTAAACCGTTTAAAATCGACTGTTTCAGTTCCGAACTGGCAGTGCACTACATAAACCGAATCTAACTAGTTTTTACGTAATGATTGGTTACACG